AGATACCCTCGTTTACATTAAATAGGCAATCTGTTCTCCCATAGGGAAAAACCTTGACCTCCGTTTTAGGACTGGCCGTTTCGGCTGACGAGCATTTTCTGATCGCAGCTCTCGTAGTAATCAGGATATAACTTGTTGCGTCCGGGTGGGTTCTGATGATCACAGTAGTATTAGAGAGCCTTAAGGTAACGGATATAGCTTGGGATTAATATGACAGAAAAATGAGATAGATGTATAATAAAAAAACAGAGAATCAAGAGCATGCAACATCAACCACGAACCAAATTTAACGCGGACGCTGGACTCACCGAGTTTCTTCACAGAAGGCAACAACCAACGCTCAGGCTCACCTTCGTAGCACCCTGAGCTGACCCTTAGGCGAGTACCAGTCGATTTTATCTAGACCTGGATCCACCGTGGGCTAATTTGTAGGCTTTGAAGAAGATTTCCTTGAGTTCCACCACACGCTCCGAAAATTGATACCACGCGCGGTCAAGGTCAGTTCAGCTGCACGGGACGACAAATAATTTCGCCAACCGAGCGTCCGGATACTTGTTACGGCCGGAACTTCGTTCTTCCGGAGTTTCGACTTCTTGTCGACCGTTTGACTACAGCCGATTTCTTTGTTCGGAACAGAATCCTTTATAGGGTCCGTATCTCAAAGAGGAGGTTATTCGAAAAAAGGCAGAATGCTACAGCTCTTCCCAATAGTAGACACTATACCAAATCTCAAGATAGAGGCTGATCCAGACAACATCTAGTTGCCCTTTGAACTCCACGACTGTCANACCGAAACGTGCCGAGGTGACGCTAAACAATGCAAGCAATAAATGCAGTAGCAAAGCGAAAGCGTGTCACACGTGTTGCGTGGGTTTGAACAGGACCGAGCTCATATATACACCTGAGCGGAAAACCGTGCTCAGTAAAACAAAGAAATATCACATTTCGAGTCAGAGTTGATTGTGAGGAAATTAAGACCGAAACCGTCCTCGTGGATTACTCCTTTTTTTCGTACAATCATGGTCACTATAGATCCATTCAAGCTGGACGTGATCATCAACTCATGGACTAATAGCATCTTCAACCTAGTCTGGTGACTAGCATGAGGACCCGGTCAGTTTCCAACCAGTCCAATATAATTGAGGACTGTCACCCGGCCGAGCCAAAAGGGAGCCGAAACGCTATTACAACTACGCTCAAGCCAGGGGTCTTAATGAAAGGATGATGGTACCTCTACAATTGGAAGGTAGGGCATTCATCAGTAACCAGGAGAAGGTAGACGCCTTTTGCACATACTTCAGAAGTGTGCATAGAGTAGACAGCGACGACCTGGCGCTGCCGGATCCCGCACCCTCCCTCACATCAGAGGAAATAGAGAATACTTGTGTCATTAGAAGCGGTTCATCGGATATTAGCGGAGCTGGACGTGAGTGAATCTTCAGGGTCCGATGAAATGCCCCCGGCAATCGTCAACCCGATGGCGGATACAGTAGCGAAACCGCTAAGGGATTTGTACAAAGCCAGCCTAGACCAGGGCAAGCTATCGAGGGAATGAAAAACAACTGCTATTGTTGTCATTCACAACAGAGGAGCACAATCCCAGATTAACAAATACAGGCCGGTGAGCCTAACGTGTATATTGTGCAAGTGCCTAGAAAGGATAGTAAGGACGCACATTGCACAGCATTTACTCCAAAACTCACTGCTTACTGATCAACAGCACGGGTTAACCAAGGGTAGTTCATGCTTATCTAATTTACTGTTTTTAGATGAAGTAACCTCGAGGTTAGATGAAGACAAAGCTATGGAGTCTGTTATTTAGACTTTTGCAAAGCTTTTGATTCCGTCAGTCACAGGTTTCTGTTAGTTAGGCTCAAACACAACGGAATAGGTGGGCAGATACATAACCGGATCAGGGAATTCTTGACCGGTCGTACTTTTTACGTGAGGATTAGGGACAAAATATCTGCTAAAGCCATACCCATTAGCGAAGTACCACAGGACTCAATACTTGTTCCCTCAATGTTCCTTCTTTTTATATATATGACTTGACTGCCATTCTCAGTTCGCCATGCTTCATCGTTGCAGATGATGTCAATATATTGGGGTCAGCCAGTAGGCAGCAATTGCAGGATCTGCGTAGAGCAACGGAATGGGCAACAGTATGGAACCTCCCACTAGATGCAGAGAAAAGTAATTTACTTTCCCTTGCTGATGAACAGTTGTCAATTCATTTGGGTGGAGGGGATTTCACTGCAGGGGTTGTAGGAACCAGAAGAGACTTAGG